AAATATTCGCCATGAGGAGTTGTGTATACGCATTTTTCTTTTTAATTCCTTTTTAGATGGAGTTCGCAATATTTTAAATTGATATAATGTTCCTTAAAAATTACACAGAATAGCGACAAATAAACTCATATTATATTCTATGGCTTTTTATATTCATACAGACACACATTCACAAACTAGATTGTCATACTCTAACTCTGCTTGTTCCTTAGTTAGCACGACCGTTACGCTCTGCCAATACTTCATAAATAATAGAGTATTCCGTTTTGATCGCATGGAAAGTCGCTATTTGGTTTCACTGAGAGAAAGAAACAAAGAAATAGTTCATCATTTACTAGGTATTTCTTTCTTTCATCCTTTCTTTTTCTTCTCTCTTTAAATTTTTCCTTTCTTTCTGTTATATACCGAACCTATGAACACTAACGGATATGTCCCAATCCTCATAAATAGTTTGGACACTATTCTAAGTGGGAGTAATATGCTGCCTAAGCTGTCAGCGTGAGCTGTCAGCCTGGGAAGCTCTTGCCGTGTTGAACTCTCTGTCTTCGGAGAGAGAGGAACCAGAACGAGGCTATACTGGAGAGCAGAGTCTCGTCCGGGGAGGTAGACAGATACTCGATCCCGCGTATGCGGAGTCTACAGAAAATGTTTACCGAGCCCACGGGCTCGGAAATCCCCCACATTAAATTTGCCGCATCCAACCTCGTGGGGAGGCAGGTAAATATCATAATATGCTGTCTAAGTAGACCACTACACGCAGTGGTTTACCTACTTCACGCCGCTGGCGAGTATTGTATTTTTTTGATATTATAAAGATTGTCATTTTATTTTCAACCTCCGTTTTGGTTATTCTTCACTCAGTAACCTTTTCTAGGTTACAACACTTTCTTTCTTGAAAGTGAAAGTGAAAGTAAAATGGAAAAAAAAAACGTCAATATTATATCTTTTCATCTTTGCCTTCTTCAAATTCATTAAATATTGACCTTATTTACTTAGTTAGTTAGCGCAAAAGTTAAACCCTGTCAGCACCTCATTAATAACGGGGCATTCCGTTTTGATTACAAGGAAAGACGAAAAAAAACGAAAAGAATAAAATAAATAGAAACGCTGAGAAGAAGAAAGAAAGAAAGAATCGAAAAAAAAAGAAGGTTTGAAAGAAAGAAATAACCTGTCATTACCTAATAAATAATAGACTATTCCGTTTTGATCTCGAGTTAAGACGAAAAGGGCAATTCAGAGACGCTGTTTGGTTTCAACGAGAAAAAGAAAGAAAGAAATGAAAAAGAAAGAAAGAAAGAAATGAAAAAAGATAAAAAAGAATTCATGAAAGAAAGAAGTAACCTGTCATTACCTAATAAATACTAGATTATTCCGTTTTTATCGCGTGGTAAGGCGAAAAGGGCAATTCTGAGATAATGTTTGATTTCAGCGAGAAAAAGAAAGAGAGAAAAAAAAAGAAAAAGAAAGAAAGAAATGAATAATGAAAAAAAGAAGGTATAAAAGAAAGAAATAACCTGCCATTACCTAATAAATAATAGACTATTCCGTTTTGATTGCGAAGAAAGACGGAACAGACATTTCAGAGACAAATGACAACTGCTGTACCACAGAAAGAAATGGCAACCTACTGCAGGAAAAACCACACTCGGTCACAAGGGTTACCAAGTAAGTCACGCTCTTTAAAAAGGACGAGGAAGAGACTCGAGGCGACGGAGATGTGATTCTACAGAAGGATGCTAAGGATATCATAGACCAAGCGTGTGAGCAAAGAGAGGTCTTAAGAGAGGATGCAAACAAGGAGGAGGCTTATACTTAATATCTGGAAGAGGAAGCTGAAAAATCCTGGGACACATAATAAGGAGGGCCTGGAGAATTTGATACTCACGGGTCGAATAGAGGGAAATAGAGACAAAGGAAAAGAACGCATGGCATACCTAGTGGCCTTAAGCAAGTGGATGACAGAACGTGGTCTGGGGGAGGTGGTAGAGGGAAGGAACTTGTTGAGAACTGCAAGGGATAGAGGGAGGTGGAGAGCCATGATCGCCTACGTCCTGAAAGGACATGGCACATAGAAAGAAGAAGAAAAAGCTTCGTTTGTCTTTGTTGACTTACCTCTCTTTCTGCATGCATATCCTTTCTATACGTTTACGGCCTGTCACTTGTTCTTTAGGCCTTTGTCTGGGTTTTTTAATTAACTCTTTCAGTGTGTCTGGTATGTTTGTGACTGCTCGATCTGTTAGAAAACAAAACAAAACAAAATATTACCTGTCTATATTTCTGAGATGAGGTATTATGTACACTATTTACATTATTCGGACTAAGGCCTCATCTTTGTCGTCATACTTATTACAACGTTTTGGCCGTTGTACGCTCCGGCCTTCTTCAGGTGGTTGGAATGTCGATCTGAACCCTTTATTTCACTCACTGGGGTAGACTGTTCTAGTTCCACGTACCATGTTTAATGGATGTCAATTGTCAGTTTTTTCCTGTTAATTCTCCAAGTTTTCCACTGCCTTAACCAGGTACTGAACCTACACTCTTTGGGTGCTGTCACTTTATCCACTGTGCCATGTGTCCGTGAGGACATCTGCCTATAAATTTCTGGGTATTATAAACCTAATGTCTTCAACAACCATTTTTTTTTTACCAGTGCTCATATTGCAATTTTTTTGCTGTCATCACTGCATGTTTTTGCCAGAGCTCATATTACAATTTTGTTGTTGTTATTATCGCTTTTCTCTGTCACTCCTTATTACTGGTTCCCATATTGTATTCATTTCTATGCTTGGTCGGCTCAGGAGATTTTTGTGGCCTAGTAAAACATATTTATACTATTTACAACTCTTTTCTTGGAGCTTAGGAGAATAATAACAAAGCAAAGGGAAATCACTCTTGATTATTCATAACACTTACCTTGTTTTTTGGACCTCCGGATTCATTATTTTTGTTGAGCTTGTCGTTGCCACAACGTTCCTTCAGATGTACAATTCTTATGAAAAGTGTATAAGATCTTGGCCAGAATAAACGGTTTTCCTTCATTAATTATACTGAAGAATAGCATACAACCTCCCGTTTATTGAGAAACGGAAATAATACAAGATGCATTATAATAAAAGCATACACAAGTCAATGTTATAACCACATAGATAAAGCTATGTATTATTAAACATACAGCATAGTGCATCTATTGTCCTTGTACATATCTATTAGGTTGGAAAGAAAGTCATGTCACATTTGTGACGTGATCACTTTGATGGCGTTTTTGAATACATACAGTAAAATAAGCATAAATTTTCGCGTTCGTATGTTTTTCTTCTCTTTCTGTGCAGATTTGTTTTACTATTGTTTACTCAAATACTAGGCCAAAGAGCCGCTCAGGGTAGACGGTTACTGAATAAGATTATTGTAAGGGATAATACAAGGGTAGGTAAATTTTGTATCGATTTTAACGTTTTAAAATGATCAGGCCCTTATCAGACACAGTACACTGTATGGATTCAAAAACCTTTTTTCAGCAACGGAAGCGGAAGGAAATATTCGTTCTATGTTCTTTCTTTTCTTTCTTTCCTGTATTTTGCGTTTTTCATATTCTTTCTCTCTTCTTTCTTTTTTTCTTTCTTTCTTTCTTTCTTGTATGTTTGATTAGTTCTTGTTTTTTCTTGTGTTTTTCGTTAGTCAGCTTCCTTCCTTCCTTGTATTTTTCGATATTCCTCTTTCTTCCTTCATTCCTTCCTTCCTTCCTTCCTTCACTCCTTTTTCCATCTTTTCTTTCTGGCATTTTTCGTTAGTACTCTTCCTTTCGTCCTTCCTTCCTTGTATTTTTCATTAGTCATCTCACTCCCTCCCTTCCTTCCTTCCTTCCTTGTATTTTTCGACATTCCTCTTTCTTCCCTCATTCCTTCCTTCCTTCCTGGTACTATTTATTATTCCTCTTCCTTCCTTCCTTCCTTCCTTCCTTCCTTCCTTCCTTCCTAACTACAAGTTCACATTTTCTTTCTGCTATTCCAACTTCTGTCTTCTTTTATTCTTATGCTTTCATTCATCCTTTTTTCTTTTCTTCTTTCCTTCCTCCTTTCTTTCCTTCCTTCATTTCATCTTCCTTCCTTCCTTCCGTCCTTTCTTTCTTTCTTTCTTTCTTCTTTTTAACGTTCTTTCTGTTTATTTGTTTCTATTTCAGTTTCCTTGCTCTCTTCCTTCATTTTCCCTTTTGTATTTTCTTTTTTTGTTTTTCCATCTTGTTTTTCCTTTCTTCATTCTTTTTTATCATCCCTGCTGTTTTCTTTGACTTTCCTCTTTATTTTCCTTATTTCCCGTTCCTTCCTTCCTTCCTTCCTTCCTTCCTTCCTTCTTTCCTTCCTTCCTTCCTTCCTTCCTAACTACAAGTTCACATTTTCTTTCTGCTATTCCACCTTTTGTCTTCTTTTATTCTTATGCTTTCGTTCATCCTTTTTTCTTTCCTTCTTTCCTTCCTTTCTTCCCCCTTTTTTCCTTCTTTCTTTCTTTCTTCCATTATTCGTTATTTTCCTTCCTTCCTTCCTTCCTGTTTTTTTTGTTCGTTAGTCCTCTTCCTTCCTTCTTTCGCTCCTTTTTCCTTCTTTTCTTTCTGGTATTTTTCGTTAGTATTCTTCCTTTCTTCCTTGTATTTTGCATTAGTCATCTCCCTCCCTCCCTTCATCCCTCCCTCCCTTCATCCCTTCCTTCCTTGTATTTTTCGACATTCCTCTTTCTTCCTTCATTCCTTCCTTCCTTGTATTTTTCGATATTCCTCTTTCTTCTCTCATTCTTTCCTTCCTGGTATTTTTCGTTATTCCTCTTCCTTCCTTTTTCCTTCCTTTCTTTCTGGTATTTTTCGTTAGTAATCTTCCTTCCTTCCTTCCTTCCTTCCTTCCTTCCTTCCTTCCTTCCTTCCTTCCTTCCTAATATCCTCATCTTTGTTGTTTTATAACAGCATTTGGTTATGGTTCGTCGATCTAAGTAATCTTCAAACTGAACTTCAGACGTCGGAGTGAACACTTTATTTAATCTACCTTGGTAGATTGTCCAAGCCGTTGCTTTGTGGAACAGATGAACCAAGGGGATGCTTCCTCGAATTCTGCGATCTTAATCTGTTTGCTTGTGGTGTCAAAGATCCTGTCTCAGAAACGCGTCGATAAATAGCAGCAAAGCTTGCATATCCGCATAAAACTGCCCCTATTACTAACACTTTATCTCGAGTGGCTCCCAGGCCTTGTACAGGATAAACATTATTGTAAACAAAAATTGTCAAAGAATTAATTAACAATCAAACAACATGTTAAAATTATCGAAGCATATTACGAAAATAGCTTTATTGAATGAGAAGTTCCCAGGTTGCATCATCTCTCGAAACAGCAAAGTCGATTGGCCACCACGATCGTGTGACTTGACGCCTTTGGGATCATCTCAAAAGTAAGGTCTATGCCAACAAGCCAACAACAATTCAACAGATGAAGGATGCGATAATAAGGCATATTGGTGAGATCGAGGAGCAACTATGCAGAGATGTCATCAAAAATTATGACCATCGAGTAGAGGTGTACCGCCGAAGACTTGGCGGATGTTTGAGTGATATTATTTTTCACACAAAATTGCCATGATTTTAATAACGTAATCCAATAGAGAATCAAATAAATTTTCACCAATAACACTGATTGATTTGCTGTTGACTTTGATCCGTCTTAATGAAACATCCTGTACTAACTTCTTCTATGTGCTGTGTCCCTTCAGGACGTATGCGATCACGGCTCTCCACTTCTTCCTGTCCCTTGTAGCTCTCAAAAAATTATTTCAATATTGTTATTTCTTCTAGATCCTGTTCTGCCATCCACTTTCTTAAGCCCGTTAAGTATGGCATGCGTTGCTTTTCTTTTTCCCTCTATCCGCCTTGTGAGTATCAGATTCCCCAAGCCCTCCTTTCTCATTACGTGTCCCAGAAATTTCAGCTGCCTCTTCCTTTTGTTCAGTATAAATTTCCATTTTGTTTGCATCCTGTCCACGGAGGAGTAATGGATAGCGGTTCGGATTGAGTAATCGGAGAGCCGAGTTCGAATTCCAGTCGAATCCATCTTACGTGCTAATACCCTTGGGAAAAGTATGAATCCTCTTCTTCTCCCCCTCCTCCAGCTATGGGTAAATAGCAGGACAGACCGAGTTCTATGGCTTTGGAGTTTGAATTTGTACTACCCAGCAGTTCTATAGCCTTGGATGGCAACTGATCTACCGCAGATAGAAATGGCAACCTACTGCAGGAAAAAATCTGCCTCGTCAATCATGTATCAAAAGATACATGATCGCCTAAGTGTATATCACATAACTGACTGACTGGTCTCTCCAAAACCTCATCGTTGCTCACTTGTTCGGTCTATGGTATCCTCTGTGGCCTCGAGTTCATCTTTGAGGAGACCACCCAACGTTCGTTGCCATAAAGAAAGACAGAAGTAGGCAATTGAATTACGACAGTTGATGTTGATGTAGGCAAGCAAAAATGCTTGCCTACTCGCTGTTGACATTTTGCTGCTGCTCTTCTGCTTTTGCCGACGATTGTCTTGCAGCTAAAGTCTTGTGGTGTAATTTGTTGATGATTAAAAAAAAAAAAAAGGATTAGTTTTCGCAGTACTTACCTGATTTCGATGTTGCTTTAAGTCTTTTGCTTCCCGAATAGCGAGGGTCAATTACCAGCTTCGAATATTTTGCATCTGTTTGGACAAAAAAAAATCGATGGAAATAAAATTACTTAAAAGCAAATATCGTTATCATTTAAACCCGACTGACGGCGACATTACCAAGATACACAAAAAAAGTGATGATTATGAAACTCGACGCGAGAATATCTTAAAAAAGTTGCTAATAAAAAAAAATAATTCTCACGACTTCGGGAATCAGTAACAGTAATTGCCCTTAACTTCATTCTAGGACGCCCGAACCCCAGTCCATGATCAAGGCGAGCGTTCAAGTCGGATAACTGAACTGAACTTAACAAAGAGTTGCTAATATAAAACTTTATTTATTTATTTTTTTAATGTTGGCAACCATAGCTGCTGAGATGTCATTTCAAATACGTCTGTCTAACGGTTTTCGGCACAGTAATTGAAATCGACGTGTCGAGTTCAAATTCTGTCTGAGTATGTTTTCTTTACTTCGCAGTAATGCCCTCGGAAAAGGCATGAAGCCGTATTCTTCTGTCTATAGGCTTCATATCATGTCAGACTTGGCTCTCATATCCTTTGTAGGTTAATCAGCCTATAAGAAATACAACCTTGGATTCAAAACGAGCCTAAAGAAGGAAGGGCTTCGTCAGGTTATCTTGCCATAGAAGCACCCACCTTTACCATGACCACATGGGACCGTGAACTAATTTCTGCACCTTCCGTCAAATTAAAATTTATAAGAAGGCATAAAATGTTCAGATATGAATTCATAGCAAACTCCTCTGTCTCATATTGTCTTGCCATGTGTTAGCATTTTCTCTTTTTTATTATTAAGGCCTTAATAATAAAAGCGAAATAGCCAACACTTAATAATATTAACTACAAACACGGCCGCAATGTGCTGTGTTCGGAAAAATAAAACTTCCCTATAACACTAAAAACATACACGCAACAGACACACCCAATTAAATTGAAAAAATAAAATCATCCTTGATAATGGCTAAAAGTATATCCGAAAGTGCTCGGAATTACAGAACATTTGGACAGTTTCTACACACTTTGTGTCCCAAAAAGAAAACACATGTTCGAACACAAGAAAAAGCTTAATCGCAGTACTTTATCTGTCGTCTTTAATGAAGCATGCATAAATGAAGTATTGCTACGTAAATACACTATAAGTTCAAAAGGTGAAGCTACCCCTAGAATTAGTATGAGATGAACTTAACGGAAGTGTGAAAACAAAAAAAAATGTAAATAAAGGTGTTAGAGTCATTGAAAAAAATGGAATAAATTATCAAACTTATATTTTGAGAAACTTTTGCAACAAATGCCAAAAATGTGTGCTGCAGAAATCAAGGCTAAAGGAGGATATTTTGACGAGAGCAAAATTTAATCATAAAATGCTTTTTTTCTTTTTGTCATAATAAAAATTACGAGGAGTTGACTCAAACGTATGAACTGTAGTATATATATATATATATATATATATATATATATATATATATTTTATTTAAAAAATATGATTCCAACTCGCGACATAAGAGGTCTCATGTTTCAAAACAAGAGCCGAAAACTTCAATATAATTATTTGAATTAAATTGTGTTAAAGTAAGCTCTGTTCCATCTTCAAGCGAAATTTTTTTTGGAATAACGTATTTCTGAAATTTACGTGTTTTAATAATTGAAATCAAAATTTCCATGGTAACAGCTAGGGCGAATTGTTTAAATTAGGTAGGAGTGTGTTGGGTGTTAATATCAGTATAGAGTTACTTTCATAGATGTCAAGTTAGGGAAAGGTGGGGGTGTCTAAATTTGAAACGGAAGATTTATTAACCCTAGTCTGGTTAGCGTGTCTATGGAGATTTCATTTTTTCATTTTATTTTTTTATGAAAGGGATTTGTGCATATATAAAAAAAAAACAAAAACAAAAAAAAAAACAAACTGCCGTAACGTTTGTTTTTTGACGACTTCATAAAGGGTTATCTTTTTTTAGGGTATTTAAACTATTTGTTTGGGCTATGGATTATGAAAGTTATTATATTGTATGCTTGTTTTTAGCTCATTATTCAAACTATGAATCTGATGATGTCGACAAAAAACCGTTAACTCATGTCTATTGTTTAATAGATTATTATTATTTAGAAGCTTAATAAAGTGCAATTTCTCATGGAGGCACAAAAGGGCATGGGTCATCCCAAGTTTTACATGTTCTAGCCCTATTTTCTATATATTTTCACACACACACACACACACACACACACACACACACACACACACACACATACATATACATATATATATATATATATATATATATATATATATAAATTAATTGATTTAAAATATGTTTTTTCGCTACACAGTTCCAACCATGTTTCAAAAATAAAGCTAAAAACCCCGAATTTAATTTTGCAATTAAATTAAAGCATTAATTCCATTTCATCTTCAAGGAAATTCGCTTGAAGATGAAATGGAACTAATGCTTTTAATTAATTGCAAAAATTAAATTCGGGGTTTTTAGCTTCTATTTTTTGAAACATGGTTGAACTGTGTAGCGAAAAAACAAAAAAACATATTTTAAATCAATTAATTTATAATATCAATGCTCTGTAAATTTACATTGAGCACTATTTTGTAAAAATAAAATATCTATAAGAAGAACACCGGATTTTATATCTTACTGTTCTTTCTTTATATATATATATATATATATATATATATATATATATATATATATATATAAATGAAATGGACAAAGTCCGACAATTATTTTAAAGACATTTTTTATGTTCATACATTCTTTTTATAGATACAAATATTTAAGTATATTTATAGATATAAGTATAAGTATATGCTCGATCGGTTAAAAGCACGTCAGGCTAAATGACGGTTCCGTATAGGCTACAAGTCCTGTAGGAGAACGAATATTTTCTATGTAAATTTCTCGGACATTCAAGCCGCTAAATGTTGTTTAATACTGTTTATTATAAACAGAGCATTTACTTAAATATTTGTATCTCTAAAAGAATGTATAAACATATAAAATATATATTATATATATATATATATATATATATATATATATATATATATATATATATATATATATAAGACCCTATTAAGCTCTGCTGGTTCATCGACGCACTCTGTAGGTCTAATGTCGGTTTCCTGACGGTTTTCTGGTGAATGCAGGTTCGAGTCCTGCCGGAGAGTATATTTTTTCTCTAATGAGATTTTCCGAATATTTATTCAAGTCGATAGACGAAAATAAATAAATATACTGTTTAATAAATAAACGGGGCGTCTACCCAAATACGAATATCCACATCTGTTGGACTGATAAATTAAAAAATTCACTCCACTTTCTTTAGAAATGAATTTGTTTACTTCGGCATACCAAACTAAGCTTATATGCCTATTTCAAGAGTCGGAGAAAAACCTGTGTTTGAAAGCATTATTCCACTTTGCTTAAATATACTGTTTAATAAATAAACGGAGCGTCTACTCAAATTTGAGCATCCACTAGAAATAAAGGATTAAGTAATATATATATATATATATATATATATATATATATATATATAAAAATATGGTTTTAAGCTATGATATATTTATGAGTAAAAAGTGCTCAATGTCAGGGATAGAGCGTATAAGAATATAAATATAAGCGTATATATATATATATATATATATATATATATATATATATATGTGTGTACATTTAGGCAGCATATTTTAATTCAAGAAGGTTTGGTAAATTTATTTAGATATATCATGTCATTTAGTTTTCGTTGTAATCCTTTCATTATTTCCTTGGTAGCCTTAAAAATTGATTAAGAAAAAATGCTAACGTTTTCTTTTAAATAAATAGTTTTTATTTTCCCAAAGTAGTAAGCGACATGATATGACTAAATTATTTAACCAAACCTGTTTATATATATATATATATATATATATATATATATATATATATATATATATATATATACACACACACACAAGTACAGGGTTTGTACAGATTCTACACTATTCTTAAAAGAGTGATCAATAAAGAGTAGAGCAAATAATATTTATTAAAATATTATAACATATGCATGTTAAAACATAACTATAAAAATAGCCATTTTGTTTCAACACTTCTTGTGTCATGTTAAGTGATGGTGTTGAATGCAAAATAAAGAGTTTTAAAAGTTCAAAACCAATCAAACCTCAAATTCCTGAACCCTGTTTGTAAACCGAAACTATTTTTCTAATAGGAATCAATGTAAAAAGGATTAATCTGTTCCTGGTCCCAAGGTGATTGTTTATTTAAACTTTAAAAACAGTACGTATGCACAAGTTTATACACAAATGTAATGACAATCATTAAATCTAAGAAAAAAAAATCAATAAACCCAATACTAAACAGATAAAATATAGACGTACACTTCAATTTTACCGTACATGTAAGTAGGAGAGTTGATGGCTTAAGTGGAATGGGAAGGAAAGAGATGTTATTGATTGGAAAAGGGAAGGAAAGACATGATCGTCTCTTTATTTATAAGAATAGTATAGATCGTTGATTTTGCCATATGAAACTGAGTAGGAAGAGACAATATTATCAACAATTGCTTTTCTTTTTTCTTTGCCAGTATCACCGCTAGCTTTCTTTTTTGAGTCATGACTGGGGACTAACGAAGAGAAAATAAAAGACACAGTACAATAAAAATGGGAAAGAAAAGCACAGCACAACACACGAATGTATACAAGATGGCGGTCGACTCAGAAATGATTCTGTTCTGGTTAACTCGATTCGGTTAGGTTCGGCAATGTTGTTCGAGAACCGAGGCATTTTCATCATGAATATTCTGTTCAAAAACCGATTTGTTCGACATGTGAGACATTCGAGAACCGAGGTTGCTCTGTCTGTCTGTCTGTCTGTCTCTCTCTCATATATATATATATATATATATATATATATATATAGAGAGAGAGAGAGAGTTTATGCAAAACTAGGTAATCCGTATGGGTAGACCCAAGAGGATGATATCCAGAGGGCTCAATGTAAATTCAGAGCAGATATAAAAATTTTTAAAAATTTTCATTTCAACCCTTGGAAGTAAAGTCTAATGATCCAGAGCCCCTTTAAAAGGGTTGTGGTGAAATAACTTATTACATGGAACCTTAAAGTGGTCTGTTTTATTCAAAAAAATATATATATATATATATATATATATATATATATATATATATATATATATATATATATATAACACTGACCCTTTCTGCTACCGCGGTTTCCACAAATAAATGGTTTCATCAGACAATGGAAAGGTCACTTGCTTTATTATATATACATTATTTATGCACATTATATTATTACCGGGAAACGTAATGGGAGAAAGAAAGGTCAAGTTTCAAGTTAGAGTAGAGAAAAATGAGGGAAGGGAGAAGAAAAAAGGAGGGAAGGGAGAAGAAAAAAGGAGGTGGAAGAAAAAAAAATAAGACTTTGGTATTTTCATCCAGATTCATATTTTTCTACAAACTGCTTGGCGTGTTTGCAAACTGTCATTATCTCAAACCTCTCATTTAGTAGATTGTCTCACCCTCCATACGACATAATAGCCAGCTTTTCTTTCTGTCACAAATTGTCTATCTATATATATCTATATCTATCTATATCCATAAATATCTATCTATCTATCTATCTATCTATCTATCTATCTATCTATCTATCTATCTATAAATATCTATATCTATCTATATCCATAAAATTCATTCTATCTATCTATCTATCTATCTATCTATCTATCTCTTTAAAATATTCATCTATCTATATTCATCTATATCCATAAATTTCATCTATCTATCTATCTATCTATCTATCTATCTATCTATTATCTATATCCATAAAATTTCTATCTATCTATCTATCTATCTATCCATCTATCTATATCTATAAATATCTATATCTATCTATACCCATATCTATCTATCTATCTATTCATTCATCTATATCTATCTATTCATCTATCTATCTATCTATCTCTATAAACATTCATATCTATCTATATCATCTACATCCATAAATATCATCTATCCATCTATCTATTCATCTATCTATCTATCTATCATTCATATCTATAAACATCTATATCTATCTATACCCATAAATATCTATCTATCTATCTATCTTATCATCTATCTATCTATCTATCTATCTATCTATCTATATCCATAAATATCTATCTATCTATATCTATAAATATCTATATCTATCTATACCCATAAATATCTATCTATCTATATAAATATCTATATCCATATCTATCTATCTATCTATCTATCTATCTATCTATATATCTATCTCCATAAATATTCATCTATCTATCTATATCTATAAATATCTATATCTATCTATACCCATATCTATCTATCTATCTATCTATCCATCTATCTATAAATATCTATATCTATCTATATCTATAAATATCTATCTATCTATCTATAAATATCTATATCTATCTATATCCATAAATATCTATCTATCTATCTATCTATCTATATCTATATATATCTATATCTATACCCATAAATATCTATCTATCTATCTATCTATCTATCTATATCTATATATATCTATATCTATACCCATAAATATCTATCTATCTATCTATCTATCTATCTATCTATCTATCTCTATAAATATCTATATCTATCTATATCCATATCTATCTATCTATCTATCTATCTATCTATCTATCTATCTATCTATCTATCTTTCTATCTCCATAAATATCTATCTATCTATATATATATATTTAAAAATATATATTTATTTAAAAATACGATTCCAACACGCTATATAAGAGTTCTCATGTTTCAAATCAAGAGCCGAAAACTTCAATATAATTATTTAATGATGTCGGCAAAAAACCGTTAACTCATGTCTATTGTTTAATAGATTTTTATTATTTAGAAACTTAATAATGTGTAGTTTTTCATGTAGGCATTATTAAGTTTCTAAATAATAAAAATCTATTAAACAATAGACATGAGTTAACGGTTTTTTGCCGACATCATCAAATTTTTGCATTGAATAATTAGCATAAAAACAAACAATAAAATGATTTTTAAAATCCATAGCCCTAATAAATAGTTTAAATGCCCTACAAAAAAGATAACCCTTTATGAAGTCGTCAAAAAACAAATGTTATGGCAGTTTTTATATTCACAAAACCCTTTCAGAAAAAAATAAAATAAAAAAATTAATAAATCCCCATAGACACGTAAACCAGACTATGCGAAATCATCTTCTGTTTTAAATTTAGACACCCCAACCTTACCCTGACTTGACATCTGTGACTGTAACTTTATACTGATACAAATTATTAACACCTTACACCTCTTTTTACTTAAACAATAGCTCTAGCCGTTACCATAGAAATTTTGATTTCAATAATGAATAAGCTATTAAAACACGTAAATTTCAGAAATAAGTTATTCCAAAAAAAATTTCGCTTGAAGATGGAACAGAGCTTACTTTAATTCAATTTAATTCAAATAATTATATTGAAGTTTTCGGCTCTTGTTTTGAAACATGAGAACTCTTATGTAGCGTGTTGGAATCATATTTCTAAATAAATAATTATATTTATGTTCTACTTTTGTATCGAGCACTATTTTTTAAAAATAATAACAATTTTCCTATTTTCTATATATTTTTCACACACACACACACACACACACACACACACACACACACACACACACACACACATATATATATATATATGATGGACTCTCCCGTCGGTTTCGACGTATGAGGTTCCGACAACTTTGTTTATTTAATCTTGTGTGTGAGTCGCAAGTGACATTTCAATCCCGCTAGTGATTTACAAAGAAGTCAAAGAGTGTGGATTCTTGGAGTATATGGCTGGAACAGCAGCAGATATTTTATTCCTTTCCCTAGTTTGACGAACCTTGACAATGTTTGATGCTGCCTTGTTCTTGATGCCATTGTAGCATGTAGTCTTCCATTCATTACGATCAATTAAGGTGTTCTCAAAGGTAGTGTGAATTATATTCGCAGCTGAGAGGTTACTTTTCAGCCTATATATATATATATATATATATACTCTTCTACTCGAATCGAGCTATCCTAGCGACGATAGCTTGAGCGTAGAATCTCTGATATGCCAAATTGGTCGGGTTTCGATCCCAGCTTGAAGCTATCGGATGTCTAGCCACACTGACGAGCTGTGATACAGCGAAACAGTTTATCTGTGGATGACTATATATATATATAGTCATCCACAGATAAACTGTTTCACTGTATCACAACATTCATGTGGGTCTCTCTCTTTCTCTCTCTCTCTCTCTATATATATATATATATATAATTTTTAATTTTTGACTGTTTTTAGCAAGTAAAAATTAGTTTTATTATTACCACTCATGATAATAAAAAGTAAAAATGAAAAACGGGTTAGCTAACCTGTTTTTTTTCTCTCTCTCCCCAATACACTTTGTCCGTTGTTCTGCTTTTTATATAATTTACTTTATTTACCTCGATTTAGCTCTGTTGAGCGAGGTACGAAACCGGTTAGCTAGCCCGTTTTTCATTTTTGCTTTTTATTATCATGAGTGGTAATAATAAAACTAATTTGTATCTGTTTATGGCAGTGATAAAATTTTGTACCACTAAACATATCTTTAAACGTATATATATCAGAGAGAGAGAGAGAGAGAGAGAGAGAGAGAGAGAGAGAGAGAGAGAGAGAGCTGCAGGAGATGAAATTATTTCTATTAAGAGTTTATATTGAGATTAAAAATTGAGAAAGAGTCCAAGAGGACTTTATCCCAGCATTAAAAAGAATACCGTAACTCTACAGTTGACCTCTTGCTAGCTGAGTCATTTGCAAGATACAAAGCCAAAAAGTACTTGATCTAGTCTATACATGAACGGCCAGTAACATCGATAATGTTCACAATTATCTGGTCAGTGGGTGTGACAGAGAGAGAGAGTCTGGGAAACACACACGCGTATATTTTTTTTTTAGTGAAATTGGAGTAGATTTGAATAGCGAAATTAAATCAGACTATTTTGTTTACTAATGTTCTAGGGTAGAAGTTGTACCCATTGAATCTGGGTCATCAGTAGACAATGGAAATGGTCGAAATAATTTTTATCGATTAAAAATTGAAATAGAGCTGAGTAAGCTAGACGGAACTTTAGAATTCACATGATTTTGGTTGAAGCAGCCAGAACCCCGTGATAACCTCGTGCGAAGTAGTAGGGCCGAGGGTCAGTTATAATCAGCCGGGTTTATCTATATAAACGCGTAGTTATGCTGAAAAAGAGAGACGCGAGAAAATTCTTGAAGAGAGAAGAAAGAATTGGCCCGGGCGAGCGTTGGAAGAAGGAACGCCACTATAACTTTAAGCCCCGCACAGAAATCTTAATCTCTCCATCGCAAGAGTCATATATCGTTCTGAGACGATTTAACAACAAGATAATCTCTCTCTCTCTCTCTCTCTCTCTCTCTGTCTAGAATCCAGTGTATGAGTTTTTTTTTTTAGTTTTTTTACTTTTCTTTTCTGTAACCTTTTACTTTTCTTCTCTACTATTCTTTTCTGCTATATAAAAGACATTAACCTTTGAATCGATGTTTGTCCGGCTTTCTGCAGATATTAATTTTTTTATGCTCCATTCTAAATTTAGCGCAGACTCTCCAACCGTGTCTGCATCTTCAGTCGACCGTGAATGGACGGACATCACTTCTGCTTCCTGGATCAAACAAATCACAACGTGGGCAGGAAGCAGGCTTAAACCAGTCGACCGGTCGAATAATCTACGGATGCTCAGGGGACCTATGGCCACTCCCTTAAGTTCGATTAGGACCGAGCAGACACCTCAACCCCGAGAGCAAGACGCCGAAGGTTGAGGGGCCGGGGCGAAAGTGTTAGACGTTATAAAGAAATTTGCAATCAAACCAACACTGAAAACAAATAATGAATATCAGGATCTGAAGATTGAGTTACTGTGAATGTAGAACGCAGGGAAGACAGCAGTTGTCATAATGAGGAAAGAGAGCTTGGAGAATTTAACACTCACAGGGCATATCTAAATGGAAAGTTACAGGTGAAGGTAACAGGTTACTTCACCTGATGAGATGGAACTGGTGGGGGAGACTTGGCAAGGTGACAAACGTTGCTAAAGGTTACAAAGAATAGGAAGCTTGTGGAGAGAAACGATCGTCCACGTCTTGAAGGGATATCGAAGAAGATATATGGAAGGGAAACAGAAAAAGGTCACGTTCTTAGGTATTGTAAATTTCTTAAAGAATTGCAGCCAGCCAACGAGAATACGTCATCCACGACAAGAGAAGAAAAAAAAAACATGGCTTGAAATTGACGCGACAATCCTAACAATATGAACTCCCCCCACGCCAAAAAAAAAAAAAAAAAAAAAATCTTTAAGAAAATAAATGAATTCTGGCAAATATTGAACAAAGAATTAAGAACGTTACCAGATGTCACTTGATTAGTACGTATAATCAAGTTTGGACTTGAAAGCTGGCGAAACTTTATTACGAGACCTGAATTCTAAAAGTGAGATGACATCACTGTCACTTTCTTGGCCGACTACCTTATAGACGTGCCTTTACTGCTGTTCTTTGGTGGATGGTTGCGGTGGATGGGAGGTGAATACGTGGGTTATTTTATCAACCCTGTCTATAAAGGTAAAGGACGACGCGTCCACTGGCCTCTTTTCTTTTCATTTTAAAAGCAAAATGAAATAGTTTGATACCTACGCGTTTTGTGGCGGTTAACAAAGAGTGTATCATTAAGT